ACGATTGATGCGTTTCCGCGCGGCGCCGACCTGCTGAACCACTTCCTGGTTCTTCACCTCTGACCTCTCTGACACGTCACAGGTGGAGGGGCGGGAGGACTGATCTAAAGGAAAAAATAATAAAAAACCCAACATGGTCATTAGCAAGTAGAGTTCAACAAGCATCACCACGTCCACCCCCCCCATCTCCCTGACCTCTGACCTCCAGGCTGCAAGACAAATTTTCTAGAGGACCCGCCGCAGAAATCTGGCTTCTCTTCAGCAACAACAACCCAGCGAAGAATTTGTTTGTATTTTTATTTACATTTTATATTTTTGTACATATTGTTAGGAGGGGGGGCAGCTTCTCTCTCGGCAGCGATCTCGTCAGACCAAATCGGTGCTTCTTCTGAAACAAAAAGATTTTACTTGGTTGACCATGTTACAATATCTCAGAACCTAGAAAACCTGTAAAAAAAAGCTAAAAAAAGAATAAAAGCTGAAAGGCAACCTGTTAACGCCGCTGAACTCAGAGCATTCCAGTAAATTTAATGTATGTACTTTAGCTGTACCATAACTAGTTTGTTTGTATGGGAGGGTAAGGCCAAAGAGAAGAGCCTCTGTTTCCTTTGTTCTTTTTTTTCTTTGTCAGCGACATTTTGTTTTATGACGGCCTGTTTTGATGTATGTGCGAAGTTTGTTGTTTGACAATAAACCGGACTTTTATTTTGTGAGTTGTACTTCACATCTCTGCCTGGTTTCATTTCCTCTTCCTGGCGGCGGGAAAACCCGCTCAAGGTGAATCAGGAAGTCGCTCCGGAAATGTTGATTTACAACATGCATGACCTACAAAACGCAGATTTCTAGATTTATCTGAGAAAAACGTCTAATCTGGATGAGCTTTTTTATGAAAATCAAAACTGTTGAAAATTAAACCTGTTTTTGCCTCCAAAATGTCTCAAATTAATTTTAGAGCTTTACTTCATTTAAATTCATATTTTTGAAAAGTCAATTTGATTCAGAAATTCTATCACAATATTTCAGTTTGTGATAAAATTCCTGAAATAAATGGACTTTAATAGCCAACATGTTTGATGTCTCAGTGTCTTTTATTATGATTACATCATAATGAAAAACACAGAAATGAATTTATCTTAAAGTCGTCGGTTTTAAAAGGTAAATCTGACAAATGAGTCTCATCAGGATGTGTATTTTAATTTACTGAATATATTTATTGTCCCACTGTGGAAATTCAGGTGTAACAGCATAACTGAGGTATGTAGATTCACGCAGCAAAATCCAAAAGTAGTATTGTATATACTTGAAAAGATTAAGAATAAAATATTGCAAAGATAACACAAAATCAAGTTATAAGAAATAAAATATACCATCCAAGTGAGTATATATATATTTGAGTGGGATTAATTCTTTTAAATGTTCATTATGTGTATTTATTACACTGTATGAAAATAAAAACAGCACAGATGTAATTCAAAATGAGCAGTAGGGGTGTGAATACTTCCTGGTTTATTAGGAGCAGCCGCTGGAAGGATCTGTGTTGACGCTACTTAGCACGCCGCGGATGCAGCCGCGGATGCAGCCGCCTGTCACTGCAGGTCAGCAGCATCACACATGGAGACACGACTGTAAGATCCAACATTTGGTTTAAAACCATTCTAACAGCACAGGCTGGCTAGACATCCTCACTCAGAACCAGCAGATCCCAGGGAACTCTGGGATGTTGAGTCCAGATGATCCTGGGTCCAACATAGACCACTGAACCGGAACCAGTCACTGATCTAATATCTGCTGTTTCTTCATGTGGGTTGAACAATTTTTACGACTGGAACCAACCACCCAACAAACTAACTGATTTCTGAAGTTGCTTCAGCAGAAACATGTCGGAGTCTGAACCTGGTAGGAGGATCTGATGGTAGAAGGATCTGATGGTAGGAGGTTCTGATGGTAGGACGTTCTGATGGTAGCAGGATCTGATGGTAGAGGATCTGATGGTAGGACGTTCTGATGGTAGGAGGTTCTGATGGTAGAAGGATCTGATGGTAGGAGGATCTGATGGTAGAAGGATCTGATGGTAGGAGGATCTGATGGTAGGAGGTTTTGATGGTAGAAGGATCTGATGGTAGGAGGATCTGATGGTAGGACGTTCTGATGGTAGGAGGTTCTGATGGTAGGAGGATCTGATGGTAGGAGGATCTGATGGTAGAAGGATCTGATGGTAGAAGGATCTGTTGGAAGAAGGATCTGATGGTAGGAGGTTCTGATGGTAGGAGGTTCTGATGGTAGAAGGATCTTATGGTAGGAGGATCTGATGGTAGGAGGATCTGATGGTAGAAGGATCTGTTGGTAGAAGGATCTGATGGTAGAAGGATCTGATGGTAGAAGGATCTGTTGGTAGAAGGATCTGATGGTAGGAGGCTCTGATGGTAGGAGGTTCTGATGGTAGGAGGTTCTGATGGTAGGAGGATCTGATGGTAGGAGGATTTGATGGTAGGAGGTTCTGATGGTAGAAGGATCTGATGGTAGGAGGATCTGATGGTAGAAGGATCTCATGGTAGAAGGATCTGATGGTAGGAGGATCTGATGGTAGGAGGATTTGATGGTAGGAGGTTCTGATGGTAGAAGGATCTGATGGTAGGAGGATCTGATGGTAGGAGGATTTGATGGTAGGAGGATCTGATGGTAGGAGGATTTGATGGTAGGAGGTTCTGATGGTAGGAGGCTCTGATGGTAGGAGGATCTGATGGTAGGAGGATCTGATGGTAGGAGGATCTGATGGTAGGACGTTCTGATGGTAGGAGGTTCTGATGGTAGGAGGATCTGATGGTAGAAGGATCTGATGGTAGGAGGATCTGATGGTAGGAGGATCTGATGGTAGAAGAATCTGATGGTAGGAGGATCTGATGGTAGGAGGATTTGATGGTAGGAGGCTCTGATGGTAGGACGATCTGATGGTAGGAGGATCTCATGGTAGAAGGATCTGATGGTAGGAGGTTCTGATGGTAGGAGGATCTGATGGTAGAAGGATCTGATGGTAGGAGGATCTGATGGTAGGAGGATCTGATGGTAGGACGTTCTGATGGTAGGAGGTTCTGATGGTAGGAGGATCTGATGGTAGAAGGATCTGATGGTAGGAGGCTCTGATGGTAGGAGGATCTGATGGTAGGAGGATCTGATGGTAGAAGAATCTGATGGTAGGAGGATCTGATGGTAGGAGGATCTGATGGTAGGAGGTTCTGATGGTAGGAGGTTCTGATGGTAGAAGGATCTGATGGTAGAAGAATCTGATGGTAGGAGGATCTGTTGGTAGGACGATCTGATGGTAGGAGGATCTGATGGTAGGAGGACCTGATGGTAGGACGTTCTGATGGTAGGAGGTTCTGATGGTAGGAGGATCTGATGGTAGAAGGATCTGATGGTAGGAGGTGATGGTAGGATCTGATGGTAGGAGGATCTGATGGTAGAAGAATCTGATGGTAGGAGGATCTGATGGTAGGACGTTCTGATGGTAGGAGGTTCTGATGGTAGGAGGTTCTGATTGTAGAAGGATCTGATGGTAGAAGAATCTGATGGTAGGAGGATCTGATGGTAGGAGGATCTGATGGTAGGAGGATCTGATGGTAGGAGGTTTTGATGGTAGGAGGATCTGATGGTAGGAGGATCTGATGGTAGGAGGTTTTGATGGTAGGAGGATCTGATGGTAGAAGGATCTGATGGTAGGACGATCTGATGGTAGGAGGTTCTGATGGTAGGAGGTTCTGATGGTAGAAGGATCTGATGGTAGGTGGTTCTGCTGCGTGTCGGGTCGGGTCATGTTGGCTTCAGCCTGAAGCACTCAGACAGGAATGCATCCAGCTGTTTCGTCTGTCCGCCAGAGAGAACCCAGACTGGGATTTGAACCCAGAACCTCCAGGCTGCAAGACAGTCGAGTTCATCCCTGTATTTAGTATTTATACATTTTATATTTACGCAATAATTTAATGGAGATTTTTCTCCAGTAATTTAAACATGAATTTCTGTTCTGTTCGTTGCAGCGCCCCCATCTGGACACCAGTCCCTCCATTCAGAGTTAAATACTTTCAGTCACTGAAATGTTAGTGATTTGTTCAGGTTCAGAGGTTGGAGCAGATCAGACTCCTCCTCCTTCTTCCTCTTTCCTCTTCCTTTTTTTCCTCATCTTCCTACCTCCTTCCTCCTCCTCCTCCTCCTCCTCCTCCTCTTCCTCTTCTCTCCTCCTCCTCCTCCTCCTCCTCCTCCTCCTCCTCCTCCTCTCCTCCTCCTCCTCCTCCTCCTCCTCCTCCTCTTCCTCTTCCTCCTCTCCTCCTCCTCCTCCTCCTCCTTCTTCCTCTTTCCTCTTCCTTTTTCCTCCTCATCTTCCTTCCTCCTCCTCCTCCTCCTCCTCCTCTTCCTCCTCCTCCTCTTCCTTCTCCTCCTCCTCCTCCTCCTCCTCCTCTTCTTCCTCTTTCCTCTTCCTTTTTCCTCCTCATCTTCCTTCCTCCTCTTCCTTCCTCCTTCATCCTCCTCCTCCTTCCTCCTCTTTCTTCCTCCTTCCTCCTCTTCCTTCCTCCTCCTCCTCCTTCCTCCTCCTCCTCCTCCTCTTCCTTCCTCCTCTTCCTTCCTCCTTCATCCTCCTCCTCCTCCTCATCTTCCTTCCTTCCTCCTCCTCCTTCATCCTCTTCCTCCTCCTCCTCCTCCTCCTCCTCCTCAGGTATGGGATCCAGATGTGCATCCAGCTGTTGCCTCCTTCCCTCTGAGTTCAGACTTGACATGAAGCTCCAGGCTGCAAACATCAAGCCAAACCTGATGCAGGTAGGAAAACACAGGGCTCACCTGTGCTGCCTGCTGATTGGCTCTCTGGTATGAACTCACCAATCAGGAGCCCAGGTCTACAATTTAAACCCCCAGGTGTTGTTGTCAGTGGTCAGCCAATCAGAAAGCAGTCTGTACATCCGGGTCTTTGCTGACTTGTCACTGAGGCTCAATCTTTTTGAGGAAACGATGAAATGAGACTGAAGCTGAAGGTTCAGAGGCTGCAGTGCTGCACCTGCCCTCGAGGGGGCAGTGTGAGCTCCTGCACAGCTGAGCAGGATAAACAGGTAAAGTGTGTTTTTAACAATTGTTGCAGTAAACAGTCGGTGTAATTATCTGCTGTTTCCCGCCTTGAACTTTAGTTCAGTGGATTTTCCTTCGACGCGAAAAGCTGCAAATAGACGTTTAGCTTCTGTTAACCGATCCCAGAGCAGCAGCATGCTTCACTTATTAATCATCTAATCCTGCAGAGACGAAAACAGATTATTTAAAGGTACAGGGAGAACATGAGGCCTGCAGCACACGCAGCTCCTCCTCAGTGCGGTGCTGCCATCTGGTGCCCAAACTCAGAGTTGCAGCCTGTTTCCTGCAATCTGTTCAGCACCAATTTACAGACTGCAGACACCCAATGCATCTCACACAAAATAACAAGACTAAACAGACACAGCTCATCAGAACCAGAACCAGCTCAGTCAGAACCAGAACCAGCTCAGTCAGAACCAGAACCAGCTCAGTCAGAACCAGAACCAGCTCATCAGAACCAGAACCAGTGGTTCCCTCCAGTAATTGCTACCTGACTGATCACCTGATCAATAATAAATTATCCGTCTTGTCTTCTGAAATGCAATGAACAAAATGCAGCTGCATCATTTTTGTCAAGTCTTAATTCTGAGTATCTTATAGTGACTGTTGCTTGTGGGGAAAGAGATAAAACTGATTTAAAACCTATTTGAGGTCCAGTTTGTCTCCAGACAGGCTTTGCAGGAATTACATGTTGTCAATTGAAATTCAGTTGCTTATCAATCACTGGACCCAGATCAATCACTGTATCAGCCAGAAGGCCCAGATTAATTGCATCATGGAGGGAAAGGTTTGAGTTTCCTTTAGTATTTCCACTACTTGGGTGACGATAATGTTAATTTAATTATTAAGTTATATGTGTTAGAAATGATAATTTTACGGCTGTTCTAAATGTGTATTTATGGTTGTTTTTTAGGTTTGAAGAATGAAATAAAAATCATTTCATGCTGGGTCTTCAGCAGCAGTCAGTCCAGGGCAGAAAGTTAAATGTTTTATTTTTAGTGAAAAATAAAATTTTTTATTAAAAATGAGGCGAGTTTGATGAGCTCATGTTTGGCTCCAGCAGCAAGACTGCAAGCAGCTTTATGCTTTAATAAATGTTTGGATCGGAGGCCATAATGGACGTCATTTCCTCTAAACGTCTGACGGAGGTGAAATCGTTCAAGTTATTAAGACTCAGGAGAAAAGTGTTGATGAGCCTTTAAACCACCGTCATGAAAAGCTGAACGTAGAAGTTCAGTAAAAAGATCCGACTGGAACCTGATGTGTGGCAGACGCTACATCAGACCTGCAGCTTCACTCCTCACACTGAGAAACGACCAACCATGACGCTCCGCCATGACGCTCCGCCATGATGAGCCGCCATGACGCTCCGCCATGACGCTCCGCCATGACGCTCTGCCATGACGCCCCGCCATGACGCCCCGCCATGACGCTCCGCCATGATGAGCCGCCATGATGAGCTGCCATGATGCTCCGCCATGACGCCCCGCCATGACGCTCTGCCATGACGCTCCACCATGATGAGCCGCCATGACGCTCCGCCATGACGCTCCGCCATGACGCTCTGCCATGACGCCCCGCCATGACGCCCCGCATGACGCTCCGCCATGATGAGCCGCCATGATGAGCTGCCATGATGCTCCGCCATGACGCCCCGCCATGACGCTCTGCCATGACGCTCCACCATGATGAGCCGCCATGACGCTCCGCCATGATGAGCCGCCATGATGAGCCGCCATGACGCTCCGCCATGATGAGCTGCCATGACGCTCCGCCATGACGCTCCACCATGATGAGCTGCCATGACGCTCTGCCATGACGCTCCGCATCCGTTGGTTCAGACCAGGATGATGTGAAACTTTGCAGCTCTGGACCAGCGGCTCCTCGAGGCCCAGGGCCAAAACCTACAAACTCTCTGCGATTGCAGCGGGAGTTACCAAAACCGCTTTAAAAAGTTATTGTTCTTCCCACAATAGCAGAGGTTTTTCTGACAGACAAAAATAAATCCCTAACCCTAAGACCTGGTCAGAGGTCAGAGTTCGTCCCCCGAGATATGAGGAGACTGTGAAGAGAGCTGTGGCTCTGGTTGAGGAAGACTTCAGGCAGAAGATTAGCAAGTTGCTAGCAGAAGAGCTGAAGAGGGTCCAGCAGTTTGCAGTGGATGTGACTCTGGATCCTGATGCGGCTCATCCTAACCTCATCCTGTCTGGTGATGGAAAACAGGCCAAACATGGAGATGTGAAGAAGAATCTTCCAGACAATCCACAGAGATTTTCTCACTGTGTTTCTGTTTTAGGACAGCAGAGTTTCTCCTCAGGCAGATTTTACTTTGAGGTTCAGGTTAAAGGAAAGACTAACTGGGCTTTAGGAGTGGTTAGAGAATCTGTTGACAGGAAGGGAACCATCAACCTCAGTCCTCAGAAAGGTTTCTGGACTTTCTGGTTGAGAAATGGATATGAGTACAAAGTTGGTGCTGGACCTTCAGTCCGTCTGCATCTCCATCCTGGTCCAGAGAAGGTGGGGGTGTTTGTGGATTATGAGGAGGGTCTGGTCTCCTTCTATGATGTAGATGCTGTAGATGTGATTTACTCCTTTACTGGCTGCTGCTTCAAGGAGAAACTCTACCCGTTCTTCAGTCCTGGTCTTAGTGATGGAGGTAAAAACTCATCTGTCTGATCATCATGCTGGTCGTTGATCTGATGACAGGATGAATAAATCTGCATGACTGTGTTGAAGTCCTGCTGGCGGAGAAGTGAGTTTGGAACATCCTCAGCAGGAAGTCAACAGTTCAGTTCACAGATGGATTATTTGCTGCTTCTTCTTCTGTTCCTCTCATTTTCAGCGTCTGATCAGATCAATAGAGCACAGCCTACATAAGGAGGCCTTAGTCCTCAATATGGCCGTCGCAGGTTCGAGTCCCAGCCTGATGGCGTTTTTGCCTGATGGTGTTTTGCGCCTCCAACCATACAGCATGCACCGATTGTAAGGATGTTCTTCCTCCTCTCCTCATTCCTTCAGTGTCCAAATCACAGAAGTGACTTAAATGACAGACTATTGTGTGAAGCACTTGGAAAAACTAGTTTGTAATGAAGTGTGTGAGCATGTAAACGGTTTGGAACAAATAGACTGAATTCCTGTATAATTACAGGGTTTTCTCTGTATTTTAAAAAGTATACTTTTTTTGAAATTATAGAGGAATTCAGTCTATTTGTAATATTGTTTTAATGTAAATTTTAGGATAAAACTTGATCAATTTCAATGGTAAAAACTGTCATTTTTACAGTAAAAGGTTAAGTAAAACACCATTTATTACTGTAGAATCAGCAATTGTAAAAATTAGCTGACTGTAATTTTTACGGTTAAATTCTGGCAACAACAGCTGCCAGTATTTTACCATAAAAATGACAGTTTTTTTTTTACAGTGTATCTTCGTTAGATGCACCAATTTATCGGGGCGAATTTCCTTCATTTTGGGAGATCGGCCGATTTTTACAGATGAAACCAGCGATCTTCTCTTGCTTGGCAAATGTGTCAGAATCACTGTCCTCTTTTGCTCTGACAGATTGGCCCACCAAGTTATGTCTGACTATTGCCGACTCAACAACTTTCTTGTTTTATTGAGCAACATTTCATGCAAAAAAAAAAAAAGGTATTGGCCAAAATTGGAACGGGCAGGTTAAGCTTTTGAAAAGATTGGTAATCACCGATCGGCCAGAAAACTGCGAGCGGTGAGACGCCAATAACCTTGGTTGACCTTTGGATGTGAAGTGGTGGCCCTGTTAGCATGTTTAGCCCTGTTAGCATGTTTAGCCCTGTTAGCATGTTTAGCCCTGTTAGCATGTTTTAGCCCTGTTAGCATGTTTAGCCCTGTGCACAATGGACAGACAAAAACTTTGAACTTGACAAGGACAGCAGATTGGAGGGAATTATTTGCTGTATTTCGCTGTGACGTCCAGCAGAGGGCGCCATCAGTTTAAGTCTTTATAAGACTATTTTTCTTGATGATTTCATGTGTCAGGAGGTCAAAGTTCATGGTTTTTATGCAGCTAAAAGCAAAACCACTATGTTATACTGAACCCTGAACACATCAGATCATTTCTGCAACAGAAATTAATTTTCTCTTTTTGTTTCTCTTTAGGGATGAATTCATGTGTTCATTGATAGATGAATGTTCATTGATCTGTCAGTCTGTGGTCTGATCTGAGTTTATTATAATAAATCCATAGTTTCATCATGTGCAGCGTTTGTGTGCGGTTCAGTGACGTCAGGACTGACAGTCCAGCAGCTCAACGCAGTCAGGAGATTTTATCAGGAAAATTTGGGCCAAATTATTGATTTATTGATATACATATTTATTCTTAAAAGAATTTGTATATTAGGTTATTGTTAACCTTTCCATACATGAGTCAAAAACCTCATTTGAACGAGCAAATAAAAAGAAAGTCCAAGAAAATAGACAAATATATTGAATTGGTGAGAACATTGATCAGAATCTGGTTCTGATCAGTGACTGAAATGTTCTGCAGAAAAAGTTTTTTAAACGACTCGTTTTTTTCTGTTTGGCTCCCTCTGCTGGTTTAGGCGCGTATCTGCGCTTGAAAAACACGTTAATATGAATTAATGTGAATTAATAATCAGCCATTAATGATCTCTGATCATAACATGATCCAAGAAGAGGAACCAGCAGGACCGACAGGCGACCCGTTGGGTTTCTCTACATTTATTATGATGTAAAACAGAAACAACATGTTGTTCCGTACCTCCTCCAGTTACATAACGCCTCCACCCAGACTGGTTGCTGACCTCTGACCTCCAGCACACATGGAGGAATGAACAGAGGATGACATAAGAAGTGTTAATCCTCCTTATCCTGCGCTGACGGATCACAATCAGCCTGGAAATCCTCGGCACGCAGCTGCTGCTCCCTCAGCTCATTGTTCCAGAACCAGCTTCTCTGAAGTGGACCTCCAGAACCCGAGCCTTCCAGAACCCGAGCCTTCAGGTTCTGGAAGGGCCCAGAAACATTGTTCTGCAGAAGCTGCAGCAGAGCAGAATGACAGAGGATCCGATTGTTTCACAGAAACCGGGTCCTCTGTTGGGAGGTTGGACCCGTCGCACTCTGGTACCGCTCTGGTGCCGCTCTGGTACCGCTGCGCTTCACATGCTGCATTGTTAACCCTCTGGAGCAGAAAACAGCTGATCGTATGTTCAGTCTGCTGCTCCATCTGAGACCCAGTCCTGTCCAGAACCACTGATCCGGATCGAATCACAGTTCTCCGGGTCACATTGGACCGGATTGTTAAAAGTGATACGGCCCCATTGTCCTCCAGAACCAGCAGAAGCAAAGCTGCAGCTGGAAACCCGTTTCTGTCAGCTTGAATCAAGTTCGTCCATAAATCTTTCCTTTCGGACTGGAAGCAAGTCGGACCGAGTCAAGATCTTCTTCATGTCACAATGAGCAGCAAGACGATACGAGCCGGGTTCTGGTCCTGCTGTGAAAACGGTCAGGAGGTAATGTTGCAGGTTTCACTGGAATGAAGTGAAACCTTCTGTCGGGAATTACAACTTTATGAATAATATAACATAGAAACTAGAGACACTTGGAGGCTGTTAATCCTCTGGAGCACAGAGACGTGCTGTGGGAGGAAGCTGGAGTCCCCAGGAAAAGACAGCGAAGCACAGGGAGAACCCCATGATTAGGCTGGGATTCAGACCCAGAACCTTCTTGCTGCAAGGCAGCATCACCAGCCAGTGCAGCATCACCGGCCAGCGCAGCATCACCGGCCAGTGCAGCATCACCAGCCAGTGCAGCATCACCAGCCAGTGCAGCATCACCGGCCAGCGCAGCATCACCGGCCAGTGCAGCATCACCAGCCAGTGCAGCATCACCAGCCAGTGCAGCATCACCAGCCAGTGCAGCATCACCGGCCAGTGCAGCATCACCGGCCAGCGCAGCATCACCAGCCAGTGCAGCATCACCAGCCAGTGCAGCATCACCAGCCAGTGCAGCATCATCAGCCAGTGCAGCATCACCAGCCAGTGCAGCATCACCAGCCAGTGCAGCATCACCAGCCAGTGCAGCATCATCAGCCAGTGCAGCATCATCAGCCAGTGCAGCATCACCAGCCAGTGTTTTATGCAGGTGCATCAAGAAAAACCTTCCATTTCCACTAATAGATGCAGAACATCATCATGGGGGAATCTTCCTGTTCGCTTCGTCTTCAGTTCCTTCCTGAAGGAACTTCATGAAAATCTGCAACAGTCAGAACATTTAGCTCAGATGTTCCGGTCCGACCCGTTTGGACCGGAACCGTTGGACGTGACGGTGATCCGGTTTGTCAAGCTGAAGCTTTAACCCTCAGGCTCCCGGGTGGCAGTCCTGTCTGTAACCATGGTGCCGGCCGGCGCCGGCCGCCTGTCCGTTCATCCCGGCCCGAGTGCGTTTCTGGGTCTGGCTGCCAAGAACCAGATTTGAGCTGTAGATTAATGATGAGCATGTTGTCCCGATCCGATAAATCTGACATGAGCAGTAATCACATCCAGCCGGGCCAGAACCGCAGCAGAGGATAAACCCCGAGCTGCTCACCACAAGCTGGAGCAGAACCGGCTCCGGCTCCGGGTCCGGGTCCGGGCTCCGGGCTCCGGGTCTGGCTCCGGGTCCGGGTCCGGGTCCGGCTCCGGGCTCCGGGCTCCGGCTCCGGGTCCGGTCTGCAGTCCTGCTGCAGGTCCATTTCATATGCAGGCGTCAGGACTGCAGGACGAGCTTCAGAGTTCTGACCCGGTTCTGATTAGCTGGTTCTGATTAACTGAGGGAAATGGATGAACTAAAGGTTTTTATTTCTGGACGTCAGAGTCGCCAAATGTTCATAATACAGTTTAAATCCAAATTTATCAACTTGAACTTTATTTCCTCTGATTCAAATTTAACTGATTTATTTATTTTTCAGGAAAAACAAGAAAGATTTTAAAATTATACCAGTTTTTAATTAACACCTGCCACACTTTTAAGTTTTCTCTTTGTGAAATATTTAATAACTTTATTATGTTCAATTTGTGTTCAAGCGTCACATGAAGTCCTGGGAAAAACACCTGCAGTTTTATTTGTCAGGGTCTGAAATGTGTGAAGATTTTGAGTTTGTGAAGTTGACCTGAAAACATGAACGAGGTCAGAGGTCAGAGGAGAATCTGATCTGGTTTCAACATCTGCAGCAAAGTGCTGTGGATGTTCTACCAGTCAGTGATCGCCAGTGTCCTCTTCTACACCGTGGTGTGCTGGGGAGGCAGCACATCCAAGAAGGACACGTCCAGACTGGACAAACTGATCAGGCGTGCCGGCTCTGTGGTCGGCATGAAGTTGGACTCTCTGGTGACGGTGGCAGAGGCGAGGACACTGAACAAACTGCTGGACATCATGGACGATAGCAGCCACCCTCTACACGCCGTCATCAGCAGCCAGAGGAGCCTGTTCAGTGACAGACTGCTGCTTCCCAAGTGCCGGACCAATAGATTCAAGAACTCCTTTGTCCCCCACGCCTTCAGACTGTACAACTCCTCACTGGGGGGTCGGAGGTGACACAGGACAGAGGGAAGAAGGAGTAGTTTTTCTACAAATGTGAACTCCATATTTATCAGGCCAACCATACAGTGCAATACCATATCACTGGTCAATCTATCCACCAAATTGCTATAATTTCCTTTTGTTTGTATTTATATTCTTTGTTTTGTATTTAATTTGTATTTTTTTGTATTTTGTGTATGCTTACTGTGTGCCACATTTTTGCCTGTGAGCTGCTGGTAACTATAATTTCCTGAGGGAGTCTTCCCAAGGGATCAATAAAGTCAAGTCTAAGTCTAAGTCTAATCTGATCTGGTCTCAATCTGATCTGGTTTCAATCTGATCTGGTCTCAATCTGATCTGGTCTCAATCTGATCTGGTCTCAATCTGATCTGGTTTCACAGTCCAGATCAGGATGAAGAGAAAAACTGGGATGTGATTCTGATAAACACAGAAGATCAAAAACATCCAAACAGCTGGGAGCAAAAATCAAAGACCAACAAACATCAGTCCAAAGTTTTACTGCAACGCTTCAAAACGTCATGAAGATGAGAAGATGCTGGTCTGGACCGAACCGGACCGAACCGGACCGAACTGGACCGAACCGAACCGAACCGGACCGAACCGAACCGGACCGAACTGAACTGGACCGGACCAAACCGAATCAGACCAGACCGAACCGGACCAGACCGAACCGGACCGAACCGAACCGGACCGGATCGAACCGAACCGGACCAGACCGAACCGGACCGAACCGGACCGGACCAGACCGAACCGGACCAGATCGGACCAGACCGAACCGGACCAAACCGAACCGAACCGGACCAGACCAGACCGAACCGGACCAGACCGAACTGGACCGAACCGAACCGGACCGAACCGAATCGGACCTCTCCTCACCTCCTCTCCTCACCTCCTCTCTCCTCACCTCTCTCCTCACCTCCTCTCTCCTCACCTCCTCTCTCCTCACCTCCTCTCTCCTCTCCTCCTCTATCCTCACCTCCTCTCCTCTCCTCCTCTATCCTCAACTCCTCTCCTCTCTCCTCACCTCCTCTCCTCACCTCCTCTCCTCACCTCCTCTCCTCACCTCCTCTCCTCACCTCCTCTCTCACCTCCTCTATCCTCACCTCCTCTCCTCTCCTCTCCTTCTCTATCCTCAACTCCTCTCCTCTCTCCTCTCTCCTCACCTCCTCTCTCCTCACCTCCTCTCTCCTCTCCTCCTCTATCCTCAACTCCTCTCCTCTCTCCTCACCTCCTCTCCTCACCTCCTCTATCCTCACCTCCTCTCCTCACCTCCTCTATCCTCACCTCCTCTCCTCTCGTCTCCTCTCCTCCTCCTCTATCCTCAACTCCTCTCCTCTCTCCTCTCTCCTCACCTCCTCTCTCCTCACCTCCTCTCTCCTCCTCTCTCCTCAACTCCTCTCCTCTCTCCTCACCTCCTCTATCCTCACCTCCTCTCCTCACCTCCTCTATCCTCACCTCCTCTCTCCTCTCTCCTCACCTCCTCTCTCCTCCTCTCCTCTCCCTCTCCTCTCCTCTCTCCCTCCTCTCTCCTCCTCTCCTCTCCTCTCCTCTCCTCTCCTCTCCTCTCCTCTCCTCTCCTCTCCTCTCCTCTCCTCTCCTCTCCTCTCCTCTCCTCTCCTCTCCTCCTCTCTCCCCTCCTCCTCTCCTCTTCCTCAGTGATGAATGGTTACAGCAGAGCAGGTGACGATAAGCTGAGTGGTTCTGGTCGTATCCGGTCCTTCATCCGGTCCAGTGGTTCCTGTTGGACATCAGAGGAAAAACAGAACCACAGAAGAAGAGTTGAAATCAGGAAGGATCTGACGGACCGCACGGGCCTGGTTCTGGTAGAACCAGACGTGTTCAGAGGTGGTTCTGTTGGACCAGAACTTCACCAAGAAAACAGCAGGACGATCTCATTGGGCCGACCCAGACCAGAACCAAACAGAACCATCAGAGCAGTCGGTCTGTTCATCCATCCTTGATAACATTTTTATTCCAAAATAATTGGAAAGACAGAACCCGGTCCAGAAGCGACAGAACCCGGTCCAGAAGCGACAGAACCCGGTCCAGAAGCGACAGAACCTGGACCGAGCCGGACCGGTCCAGGTACTGCTGATGACCCAAAGATCAGTAAAGGTTCAGGAGGGACAGGATTCTGGACCCGACTGGTGGATTTAAAGTGATCAGAACCAGGAAGTGTGTGTTCTGGTTGACTGACTGGACCGGTTCTGGTCTCCTGATCCTCCTTCAGTTTTCCGGTTTCCTTTTTTTCTTCCTGTTTTGTTTCTCTTGTTCTTCCTCATCCAAACTTTTCGTCCTCGTCCTGCTGCTCTTCCTCCTCCTCCTCCTCCTCCTCCTCCTCCTGCTGCTCCTGGAGGTGAGCTGCATGATTGGGCGCCAGGTTGGAGGGAGGGCTTCGGGAATCACATGGTTTACGTTTGCAGCTCTGTTAGACGCCATTTTGGAGGAAAGTTTGGGATTTGTGAGACCTGGAAGGCTGCAGGGAGAGGAGCAGGAGGAGTGGGAAGGAGCAAACAGGAGGACTCGTCCACTCGGGGAGTGGGACACGCATTCAGCTCTCAGGCTGCGGCTTGCAGGGCTCTGAGGTCTGCGGGCCGGTGCGGGATCGGGCGGTGGGACAGAGTGAGGACTGCCTCCTCCGGGCTGGAAGTTTGTCCCGGGTTTTGTGGAAGGAGGTGCGGAGCTCCGGAGCGGCTCGGTCTCCTCCTCTGCAGCCGGAGCAGCAGCTGCAGCGGCGGGCAGCTCCTCCTGCCTGGCTCCCTGCCTGCCCTCAAACTGGGTGTGTTTAACGCGGACTTTGGCGCAGAGCAGATCCCGGATCCCAGCTGCTGGAAAACAGATTCCCAGTTTCCTTCCAGCGCCGAGCAGCGGCCAGCCTGCGCGCGGCCAGCCGGCCGGAGGCGCCGCTGAGGCGGGGAAGAGCAGCTGGGAGAGCCGGGTCCTCCCCGGAGCTCCCCTCCCCCCCCCCGGATTCTAAGTTTTCGGTTCAGGACCGGTTCGGTTCTGGTGTCTGTTGGACGGGTCAGGAAGTTTGCTCGCTGTGGATTTTTATTGGCTTCTCTTGGATTTTACGGGGAAACAACTGGAAACCTGTTTTCTGTGCGGGACGTGTGTGTGGTTCTGAGCTCCGACCGGAACCGAGCCGAGTCAGAACATGCCCGTTAGAAAGAAAGGTAAGCCGCTTTCACTTCTTCAGACTAACACTGAAAGCTAACGGCTAAAAGGAGCTGAAGTTGGTGTCACAGTGACAGCTGGTATAAAGGGCTGTTCCGCAGGTTTTAAGGACCCTGAACTGCTGAGGTCTACACTTTAAAACATTAAATTCATCTCTAGTGCTTAAATATGGAAACTGCTTCATAGAGTTTATGAAGCCTTTTGTTGATTCTTTAAATAATTCTTAATGTGAAAATTCTTCTCATTAAGAAATGTACGAAGGGCCAAACAGCACAAAATAAAACCATTAATTAAATGTACCATAAAATAATCAAATGCTTAATTTGTTATTTCATCTGTAAAAATCACCCATCAAAATTGTAGGGTGGAGCTTTTACAGATTTGTTGAACTTATGGAACGCTCACAAATATCTTCCATTTGCAACGACTGCCATAATTTTCTAACTAGTGGAGTTGATTTTTGTCCCTTCAGGGCCTCCATAGATGTAGTTTTTTCCCCAGTAAATATAAAACGCACCTTCCTGCTGTCTTGGTGAGATTTCTGTGAGGCATTGGAGGGAACTCATCTTTTTGGGAAGGGGTTCCAGTCGAGTTGGCGAGTAGATGTGAAGTGGTGGTTTGAAATGTCCGAGAGGTTCTGTGTTTTGAATGCATCCTAGGTGGCGCCAGATCAGCTGATTAAAGAAGCTTTTTGGTTTTTTTTTCTGTGATTGAATCTCATCAATAACAACAATTAATGACTTCTGTTAAACATCAGAATTAGTCGAATCGCTGAGATACTTTGATTTGGACTTTTTAATATTTTAACTACTTAAGGACAAATCTATTTAAAAATGTTTACTTTTAGTTTATTATAATCAAAGTTTTTCCACCAGGATCCAAAAGTTAAACCTTTGGGTAAAACTGAAGTTTTCTGCTCTAATAAAAACAAAAAGGAAAAACTGTGTGAAATAAAATCAGATTCACTTTCAACTGAAATCAGTTTCAAACTCAAGTGGTTCCAGTTTGACTCCAGGCTCTTAAATAACTCTATATTCTGTGATACAATAATGTTTTCTGCTTCTATAATCTCCATAACTCTCTCTGTATATAATCTGTCACGGAACTGGATCCGGTTCTGATCTGGTTCTGATCCGGTTCTGATACACATTAATCCAGTTCTTCAGCTCCGTCCAGCCTAATCATAATTAAAAACTTTTACTACCAGAATTAAAATAACTTTTCTGATAACTGCTTTCTGAATCTCTCTGTAGTCTGGAATAATTTACTCCAGATCGGATCAGCCTCAGTTTTCCTGATTGAGAACCAGAGCCTGTAAAAACGGTGGACTCGCCCTTTACAGGTGCTTCAGTCAGAGGCCAACTTCAGCGCGCTGTGCGCTAACCTGCTGAGGAGGAAAAACTCCAACTGCAGCTGGACAGAAACATAAAACATAAGACATGCAGCGCGACCCGAACCCGGCTGCAACCTGGGATAAAGCTCCTAAACACGGCTCGGTTCGGCCCAGCCGAGCCCAGCCGAACCGCGTCAGGTGAAGTTAAAACCCAGCTAGCCTCTTAGCTTCAGCTGCTAACCAACTTCTAAATGGGGCACCTGGTGGGAACTAAAAATAAACCGGAATATCAAAAATATTTACCAAGGCCTCATAAAGGCCCTTTAACTTCAGCTGTGTTTGCCCAAAAATGTTAAAAATATTCTCTCTCACTATGAAGTAGAATGGATCCTGGTGGTTTCAGAGTATTGAGGAAAAAAATCCCGGAATGTGTGAAAATGCAGTGACGCTGCAGGCTGCAGATCCTCACTGCAGACAAGCAGCAGGAAACTGTTTCATCACTTATTGAGCAGAAAGTTCATTAAAAACCACAAAGCAAAGATAGTTTAGCCTCAAAAGTGCTGCAAATATTCAGGTAATTATGGGATGTTGGAGGAGGGAGAGCAGCTTTTAGACCGGAAGTGTCACAAATTCATCAACACAGAATCATAAAAGTTACTGAAACTGAACTTTGTTAGAAAATCCTGGCTGTGAGAAAAATGAATTGAATCTATAATATTGAATGATTATAGATTGGACCTGTTTTTGGTCCAGTCTGGACTCCTGGTTCCGCTCCAGATCATCCTGAGCCCGGCCTGGTTCTGTTCAACCAGCTTCCAGAACCGGATCGGGTCGGAGATTTTACCTGGACTGGATAAAAGAGTAAAGAGCAGAACCCTGAGGAGACGTTCCCACCTGGACGGATCAGCGGTTCTGATCCGGAACATTTCTGGGAATCGTTTGATGGATTTGCGCTGCAGACGCTGGATCCCAGCGATCCGGTTCTTCAGTCCGGCTCGTCGGGGGATCGAGACTCGTTTTGTTGATCTGAGGCCATTTTCCAGTAATAATGACAATAATATCAGATCAATAAACTTCAAACATTTAACTCTGGAAAAACATTTAACATATCAAAAATAAAAAACAAATAATCTATCAACAAATGATCCTCAAAAAGGTTTAGTTCAGATCAGAACAGAAGTTTTATCATCCAAACAGAAACTATTGATTTAGTTTATCATGTGATTATTGATTGATTGCAACAGGACCAATCATCTGCTGAAGCATTATGCTTTAAACTGCTACCGGTTCTGATCCGGTTCTGATCCAGTTCTGATCCGGTTCCAGTCCAGTTCTGATCTGGTTCCAGTCCTGTTCTGATCCGGTTCTGATCTGGTTCTGATCCGGTTCCAGTCCAGTTCTGATCTGGTTCCAGTCCAGTTCTGATCCGGTTCTGATCTGGTTCTGATCCGGTTCCAGTCCAGTTCTGATCTGGTTCCAGTCCAGTTCTGATCCGGTTCTGATCCGGTTCTGATCTGGTTCTGTTCCAGTTCTGATCCGGTTCTGATCCAGTTCTGATCCGGTTCCAGTCCAGTTCTGATCCGGTTCTGATCCAGTTCAGAATCTCGGTCAGTGTCCTGATGCTGCAGAGGAGCGGCGCGTCTGCAGCATCAGGCTGCAGCATCATCCTGAGATGTGATGAAGAGTTTAACTGTCCTTCCTCTTCCTCTGCCCCGGTTCTGACCCGGTTCTGACCCGAACCCGCCCCCCAGACGCCCAGCGGGCCCTGCTGCTCCTGGAGGAGTACCGGAACAAGCTGAACCACACGGAGGACCGGCAGCTGCGTCTCTCCATCCAGAGAGTCATCGACATCTTCCAGAGCAACCTGTTCCAGGCTCTCATAGGTAAACCTGGTTCTGATCCGTTCTGACCCGTTCTGACCCGGTCCGGCTGCTGCTGGATCGGCCCGGAGTTTGCAGAACCGGGTCTGCTCCTGATTGTTCTGCCTGTAGAGAGCTGATCCCACAGCGGACGGGACGAAGGTTCTTCTGGGTTCTGTTTGGACCAGAAACAGAACCTGGAGTTTTTCACCGTCCCAGTCCGGACTGGGACAGGATGAATGACAGGATGAATCTTCAGAACCTGAACTGGGCCTCGGGTTGTAAATTAAAGGTCCGGTCCGGTGCCAGGTTCTGCCTTGGCCCGTCTGAGTCGGACCTTTTACTCTGTTGTTGTTCCGATCGGGTCGGTTTTGTCAGTCAGAACACGTACCGGGCCGGGCTGTGAGCTCTGTCCCGGTTCTGATCCGTCGGCCGGGTTGAAAGCCTGGGATGTGACCCGCATGCCGACCTGAACCGAGCAGCTGACAGAACCTCATTCAGAACTCTGGACCCGTCCTGTGTTTTTAAATAAACCCGGTTGGACAGAAACTCTGAACCGGACCGGAACCACAGCGGGTTCCTGGAGTCTGGTCATCAACAGAACCGTCGTATCCTTTTGGTGTACTGATCCGGACCCAGCCAGGAGCAGAACCGGCCCGTTTGGACCTCTGCCCGCCGGTCCTGCAGAACTAAGACGAGAGGAAACAGTTTCCCCCCATGTGACCAGAACCCGGTTCCTCTGACCCAGTTCAGGCCGTTACTGGGTCAAAGTAACATAAAACTTCAGCTGAGGTTCTGTTCCGGTTCTACTGAGGTTCTGTTCCGGTTCTGCTCAAGTTCTGTTCCGGTTCTGCTCAGGTTCTGTTGGGCTGCAGATCTCTGAGCGAAGAGTCCAGCAGCTCCAGTTTGGACAGTTTAACTGTTTCCTGACCTGCTGGACCTCTGGTCTGATCCGGATGGGTTGCATCTCCAGCTGGTTCTGCTAAGAGAGAGGAAGGTTCTGGAGCTTCCATCATCCATCCATCATCCATCCATCATCCATCCATCATCCATCCATCATCCATCCTTCATCCATCCATCCATCATCCATCCATCCATCATCCATCCATCCATCATCCATCCATCCATCCATCCATCATCCATCCATCCATCCATCATCCATCCTTCATCCATCCATCCATCCATCCATCCATCCATCCATCCATCCATCCATCCATCCATCCATCCATCATCATCCATCCATCATCATCCATCCATCCATCCATCCATCCATCATCCATCATCCATCCATCCATCCATCATCCATCCATCCATCCATCCATCATCCATCCATCCATCCATCCATCCATCCATCCATCCATCCATCCATCCATCCATCCATCATCCATCCATCATCATCCATCCATCCCATCATCCATCCATCATCCTCCATCATCCATCCATCATCATCCATCCATCCATCATCCATCCATCCATCATCCATCCATCCATCCATCCATCCATCCACCATCATCCATCCATCCATCATCCATCCATCATCCATCCATCCATCCATCCATCCATCATCCATCCATCCATCCATCCATCCATCCATCCATCATCCATCCATCCATCCATCATCCATCCATCCATCCATCCATCATCCATCCATCATCCATCCATCATCCATCCATCCATCATCCATCCATCCATCATCCATCCATCATCCATCCATCATCCATCCATCATCATCCATCCATCCATCATCCATCCATCATCCATCATCATCCATCCATCATCATCCATCATCCATCCATCCATCATCCATCCATCCATCCATCCATCCATCATCATCCATCCATCATCCATCCATCATCCATCCCTCCATCATCCATCCATCATCCATCCATCATCCATCCATCCATCATCCATCCATCATCCATCCATCCATCCATCCATCCATCCATCATCCATCCATCATCCATCCATCCATCATCCATCCATATCCATCCATCCATCCATCATCCATCCATCATCCATCCATCATCCATCCATCCATCATCCATCCATCATCCATCCATCCATCCATCATCCATCCCATCATCCATCATCCATCATCCATCCATCCATCATCCATCCACATCCATCCATCCATCCATCATCATCCATCCATCCATCCATCCATCCATCCATCCATCATCATCATCCATCCATCCATCATCCATCCATCCATCATCCATCCATCATCCATCCATCCATCCATCCATCCATCATCCATCATCCATCATCCATCCATCATCCATCATCCATCATCCATCCATCATCCATCCATCATCCATCCATCCATCATCCATCCATCATCCATCCATCATCATCCATCCATCATCCATCCATCATCCATCCATCATCCATCCATCCCACCATCATCATCATCCATCCATCATCCATCCATCCATCATCCATCCCATCCATCCATCATCCATCATCCATCCATCCATCCATCATCATCCATCCATCATCCATCCATCCATCCATCATCCATCCATCCATCATCCATCCATCCATCCATCATCCATCCATCCATCCATCATCCATCCATCCATCATCATCCATCCATCCATCCTCATCCATCCATCCATCATCCATCCATCATCCATCCATCATCCATCCATCATCCATCCATCCATCCATCATCCATCATCATCCATCCATCCATCTCATCCATCCATCCATCATCCATCCATCATCCATCCATCATCCATCCATCATCCATCCATCATCATCCATCATCCATCATCCATCCATCATCCATCCATCCATCATCCATCCATCATCCATCATCCATCCACATCCATCCATCCATCATCCATCCCATCATCCATCATCCATCCATCCATCATCCATCCATCATCCATCCATCCATCCATCATCCATCCATCATCCATCCATCCATCATCCATCCATCCATCCATCCATCCATCCATCATCCATCATCCATCATCCATCATCCATCATCCATCCATCATCCATCCATCATCCATCCATCCATCCATCATCCATCCATCCATCATCCCATCCATCCATCATCCATCATCCATCCATCATCCATCCATCATCCATCCATCATCCATCATCCATCCATCCATCATCCATCCATCCATCCATCCATCATCCATCCATCCATCATCCATCCATCCATCATCCATCCATCCATCCATCATCCATCCATCCATCCATCATCCATCCATCCATCATCATCCATCATCCATCCATCATCCATCCATCATCCATCATCCATCATCCATCCCATCATCCATCCATCCATCATCCATCCATCCATCCATCCCATCCATCCATCATCCATCCATCCATCATCCATCCATCCATCCATCCGTCATCCATCCATCCATCATCCATCCATCATCATCCATCCATCATCCACCATCCATCCATCCATCCATCATCCATCCATCCATCCATCCGTCATCCATCCATCCATCCATCCATCATCCATCCATCATCCATCCATCCATCCATCATCCATCCATCCATCATCCATCCATCCATCCATCATCCATCATCCATCCATTGTCCATCCATCATCCATCCATCCATCCGTCATCCATCCATCCATCATCCATCCATCATCCATCCATCATCCATCCATCATCCATCCATCCATCCATCATCCATCCATCATCCATCCATCCATCAATCATCCATCCATCATCCATCCATCCATCATCCATCCATCATCCATCCATCCATCATCCATCCATCCATCCATCCATCATCCATCCATCATCCATCCATCCATCATCCATCCATCATCCATCCATCATCCATCCACCCATCCATCATCCATCCATCATCATCCATCATCCATCCATCATCCATCCATCATCCATTCATTCTCTCTCTCTAAAATGTCAGAAATCCTGGAAGATTGATCCTGAAACTTCCAGGTTTTCTGTCTTTGCCTCTTTACCTCCGTCTGGTTCTGATGGGATCTTTGGTTCTGATGGGATCTTTGGTTCTGCGTCACATAGATCCAGACTTCCTGTGTTTCTGCGTAGAAATTGCAACTAGAATGTCTCTGTTTGGACTCCAGCTCTGGGATAGAACCGGTCCAGAAGAGACGGTTGATACCAGAACCAGAACCAGGAGTGGAGTAGTTTAGCGCGTTCCCAGATTTCTGCCTTACATCTGGTGCTGATCCGTTTGCGTCGGACCCAACCGGGCCGATCTGCGGCGGTTCTGAGCGTAATGGGCTCAGTTGTCTGAACTCATCAGGTCCGTTTGTCAGATTGAACTCTGGAGCTTCAATCCGCTGAACTTTAATCAAATTAATTTGCTAATGTGATTAATGGACGGGATGAAGAACCCGATCCTGACCCGTCTGGACGGCGCCGCCGTCTTCCTCTGAGGTTACGGCGGTGACGGGTCGGGATGATTGGACCTGCTCACCTGGTTTTTAAGGCAGAACCTTCTGTTTGGACCTGGTTCTGTTCTGGTTCTGTTGGTCACTCAGGAAGTCCTCCAGGTAGAGACCGAGCCGCTCCAGGACCGGATTCCTCCAGCGGACCCTGAACCAGCAGAACCACATCACCAGCAAAAAGGAGATCTGTAATCTGGGTGGTTCTGCTGGTTTCACACCAGAACCAACCAGAACCACCCAGACTGGACCACTCAGCCCATATCTGGTTGGTTCCTTCAGGAACCTCCTGGTTCTGCCCGACCCGTCTTCCAGGCCTGTTTATTGAAAATTAATTTTCTACCTCAGTGTCCAATCCCCCCTCTGCCTCCGGCGGGCCGAGCCGGGCCGGGCCGGGCCCGGTGTAATCCCTCTGTGGACATGATGATTACCTCCAGCCTGTAATCCCCCAGCAGCGGCTCCGCTGGCCCGGTTCCTGCTAAACAGATGGCTCCGAACACAAACACTCATGTTTCTCAACATTCCCACAGTTTGGACCAGAACCGCTGCAGGTGGTGGCGGTTCTACTGGCTGTCAGGACTCTGATGTCTCATTAGGTCCAGGTTCTGAC